CCCCCCCCCCCCAAAAAAAAAACTCGCCCCCAAACTACCCACTTACTAGCAACAACGTCCAACTAGTAAACCACCACCACTAAAAAAACAGGCCAGCCCGGCACTCGCACTCGCCACCAAACGGCACATGCCCTCATTTTTCCCCCCGACAAAGAGGCGCAACAAAGCTACTTAACAAGGCACACTTTGCAAAAGGCGCCAAAAAAACCCCCACACTACTTGAACAAGGCTGACAATGTCACTGGGGGCAAAAAAAGGCGCAAGGACAAACTAAGGTTTTTGTACCCTTACTCGCCGCCCGCCGCCCGCTACGATACCTTGTACCAACTTGTCGCTCTGTTTTTTTTTCGCCTCGGATATTGCCTCCTCCGCACGCTATCTGATGCCAACACGGTGTATCCCGCACCAGTGTGGGGAAAAAAAGCGGGTATAGCACTACTTACTGTGCGCTTTCCGGTGATGGGCGGTTGGTGTTGGTGTTGGTGTTGGAAGGGGGGCGGATTTGGCTCGATTGGGGAGGGTATGCGAGGAAAGATGGATGGATTGGGGAGGGTGTGAGGGAGATGGGCTTGATTCAGAGGTTGGTTGGGGTTTGTGCTTTCTTTTTTCTGCTTGGGGGGGGGGGGGAAAGGGGGATGAATAGAAGAAGCGCAAGGGATGGAAGTGTGTTAGATACTTTGATGATTTATCGTAAAAACCTACTAAAGGGTATGCAGACGGGTGAGGTGAAGGACTTATGGTCGTGACGCACTGCCTTGTTCCACCCATTTTGTGGGGAGTCTCGTATGAAGCACGGTGGTTCCTGTGACAGACGCTTCGCGGGTTGAAGCGAAGGGATGGTATACGACTTGTCTGTCTATGGTAGTATGGTCAATCTTCGCTGTATGTGTACACACATACATATATTTATGATCTATCGTCGCGGATTTATGTCCACTGTTCTCCACGCAGTAGACAAAGAAACACTCTGTAACTTGATCAGTTGCAGAACTGCTACTTGTGCATACACAAATACGTATATGCACATATTGCTCAGTAGCACAATTTCTAAACCCACCTTGTCCTCCACCGAAAAAAAAGCAGCCTCGTCCTGTGTAAAAGCCCGTTTTTTTTTCTCTCTCCCTCGGTCCCTCATTTTTTCGTCCGTCGCACAGAAGGGAAACAACATCGTAGATCGATATAATCCTCGCTTTTTTTTTTGAAGAGTCAACCCGTTCCCCACTCTCCCCTTTTCCTTTCCAAGATACTACTTTTGAGACTGTGACTGCCGGACGAAAATATATGAGACATGTCGCATATCCCGTGCCCTCCGCCCCCCTTTCGTATTCCTCTGACAAACCCCGTTAGTTCTCCTACCTTAACTCAACCCCTCCACATCTGTAATTCTGTAACTACGCCTTCGGCTCTTGCCTCTCGTACAAACGTTGGCAAGAAGTAACAAGGTTGTTGTGTCATTCTAGCTACTCGATATATGTGATCTTTGCCTTTGTGGTATCACGCGAATTCAGGCGCAATAAATGTGTAGAATTGCTAGATCCGACAAATTTATTGTAGCACTTTGCTCACTTGAACCAAACTACCTGATCCAGCCTCATAGATATAGATAGGATCAATCGATGAGTACCTATTTTGTATCTGGATACACTTACCAAGTCCCTCTCGTTGTCATGTTTTTCGTCAATAGGCTATTCTGTACAGAGATTTGCATACAGTGTATTTATCTGAGCTGGTCTATTTTGTAAGAAGCAGTTATGCAATACTGAGATCACTTGATTTGCCATTCTTAGGAGCTGTTTACTTCAATATTGTAATGGAGAATGTCATATTTTCTACGCGACTTGGTAAGACATATACAGTGGCTTTTCACGTGATTTGTGCACTCAGTGGGACGGCAAATTTATCGTTATATGAATCAAGAGTTTTGTCAACAAATCAATCCGGATTAAAATCCGAGGCAATCTGAACAATCAATCCATTCTGCTTTTTTGGGAAAGCTATTGAGCCAGTCCAATTTGGAGGTTCAGATTGGATTAGGTTTATTATTGGCAACTCTGATCTGGGTTTAAAACGATACTCATTGACTAAATTCATGGGTATAGAATTGGGAAACAGACTATTGGACATGGCTAGCTGGGTACACAACGGTAGACAGGGTTGTAAGAATAGGCGGTGTGATATGTGCGCATTCAATAACTTTGGTATAACTGTACATGTTGTTGTGTCTAGAACAATGTGTGGACCCCCCTTCTTTCATCCCGATACCAAGTGGTATCTCCGCGGGCAAAGAATCGGTACGATTATTGAGGTGATATATGTCTGGATAAAGCATCGGTACGACTATTGATACCTTGGTTTCAAAATATCACGTAAGTCTATACGCTAAAATCTATGCTTGTCGCATGTCTGGCGGTGAGGGGACTTGGACTTGTACATAGCAAGTGTATTTTAGACTGGCGATACGGGGCTATTCTATTCTTAGAAAGAAGATGAAGATCGAATGATATAAGCACGGTATCTGTTAATGGCGTATCTTCGGCTGATGTTGATGGCTACGGAACTTTTATATCCTCGACTGGAAAAAAAGGGACCGAGTATTTTTTGTTGAAGTGAGGTGGAAAAGGCTCAGTGTAGAGAAGAATACACGGTAGTTGATTCCGGGTATGCGAAGTGTATGAAATGATCTGGTCATCTCACAAGTACTCAAGAATCATGGACTAGTAGAGTTCTATAATAAATACCTAGGACCAATCATGCATCAAATGCAGGGTGGACCACGCATAGGATTCGAAGAATTGATTGCCACACAACTTGTCACCGCTCACCAAGCACCTTTGACAGTCTCTTTGTGGCCAAGCTTTTCTGCGGCGAGCTTGGCCTGCAGGTACATGGTATATTTGTACAAGCTGCTCTCGTATAGGTAGCTGTAGTCCAATGCCATGATCACTTGAACCACCGTTATCGGAAGCTTTTTTTCTCTATGTTAATACTGAGAATCAAGATAACAAGAAGGTCTGCTCTTTGCGGATATCTCCAACAGTCACACATGCGAGCAACTGGCCAAACGAATGAGCTCAACTGGTTCGCTCAAGATCCATATCCACAAGCCATGGTCCGTTCCGTGGGTCATACCGAACATTCATGATGCTGGCATTGACCATCAAAGTCTCCTTTCCAAACTCGACTGAAGTGCTGCTTCCCTGGCTAATATCCACAGTCGCTGCCCTCTCGTTTGCGGTCTTCCCACCATCAACATGTATGGTATCAGCTCTTTGGATACACTGTTCAGGTTTGATATCCAGTTCCCCGTTATTCCACAGCACTTTCTGTGCGCCCCACCCTTCATGTATGTGTCCAAAGCAATGTAAACGTGGTCTGCAGCGTCTGGCAGCCCGTAGGAGGTGTTGGCAGCCGACTAGCTCGCCGGTTTGCGTTGCGTCCAAGACACCAAAAGGCGGTCCATGGGTCATCATGACATCGATGTTAGGGTAGTCCGGGATAGGGTTCTCGGCGATGGGTTTGGCATATGGAGTGCATTGGTGGGAGGGATTGTAACGGTCTTCATCTCGATTGTAAGGAAATGCCCAGCCGCAAAACTCGGGCTGATAGGGAGATGCATAGACCTTGGAAATGATGTCAGCTGTTGTACGCGGGTCTAGAGATATTAAATCGGCGTTTTACCCGCAAATTTGCTCCATTTTCCAACTTGAACACATGGACTCCCTCGTCGAGATAAGTTACGCCTGCCTGCTTGGCTCGCTCACCAGTCCACAACTCTCTTGCTTTAGCCGATATTTCTTGATCATACTGTCTCCCGTGCATAAATCTGCCTTTTTTGCCATAATAGTCTGCATCTAGAGTAATATCGTGGTTGCCCGCAATGATGAGCTTCAGACTAGCATCGATACCCTCCAGCATGTCCAGTGTTTTCTCATACTCTGCCAAGTGACCAACCATGGTCAAGTCGCCGCAGTGGAGAAGTACATCGGCTTTGGGGAGCGGTGGACGAAAGGCTGTGTCATTATTGGCGGTATTCTGCAAGGGAGTGGCAGAGTGGGTATCGGATATGACAAGAAAGCGAGTTTTTACGTGAGCTGGTGCCGGAGATGTGATTATAGTCGACATGGTGGAGACGAGCCTGGAACCTGGGGGATCTGAGGTCTGGCGAGGGTTGGCGCGGGGTTGCGTTGCAACAGCCTCAAGAAGTGGTGCGTAGGCATCAACATGCAACCCACTTCGCGTACCCTACTACTACCACTACCAAGTAAGGTAGCAACATTACTTTGACTGCGCAAAACACGGCCGAAGACGACTGAATATCCCACACTCTTTTTTTCCATGGCTGAAGAGAATACAGAGTCGACTGTTTGCGCCCAAGGTCCTGACACAGTTATGCAATGGCCATTTTGTTGGCGACGGGGGCATCTAATTGCCAGGACGGCTAAAGGTGACATAGCCAAGCAAAAGATTAATAGTGCGAGAGCAACACGACGAGATGCACAGTTTCACAGGGATTGGGATTGCCATGAGTCTTGGTGCCTAGTCATCCTAGCTTTGGGCCTAAAAAGTTTACCCGATCGGGTTGCGTCGGACCAGTATCACGCCATTTTCACCAACTGCCCGGCCATCCCGTCGACCAAGCTGACAGCATCCACACCTACAGACAACGGAAAATCTTAACGACGTAAATATCCAATCCACTTCCCTTGCACTGTCCGGACTATTTCCAGGCCCTGCAACTGACAGCTACGGAAACACCCGCTGACACCCACAGCCCTCCATGTGGCGCCACAATCAGCGTCCCCAACATGCGCCTAGCCGCTTCCACGCGACGCAAAACTGTGACATCACAGGGTGTTGGTCAATTTTCCTTCTGCATTTGCACCAGCAATTCTTAGCAAACAATTGCTACTAGTTTGGACGTTCCCGTGACTAAGACAAGACTAGGCACAGCGCGTCCTCTACTTACTCAGCACTACCATGTAGCAGCAGTTTGCGCATAACTGCTCACAGGGGTAAGCGACATCTGACGAACAAACTACGTACCATGGTTTAGCAACCTTTTCAAGGTTGCTACCATGCGCCGCGAAATCACAATTCGACCGTGAGAGCTGCCGATATCCTTCACTTGGGCCCCGGAAGTGTTATTGCAGCAGCAGCACATTCAAAGAACTGCGCCTCGAACGCCATGACCAGTTGTTGAACTACTTGCCTAAGAAAATGTTTCATCCTTGCAACGTGAATCAGTGGTTCCGGCACCTCGGTCTCGGAGGACTCGCGGAACACGACTCTTGTCCGATTCAGTGGAGCATTGGGCCAGCACAGCACGAGATGCTCTTGTTACCGGGCAATGCCGATGAGGTGCTCATCATTCGACATGTGCGTCTCCTCCAGAATCTGGATGCTCGAATGCACTGTACATGCTTTACGAAGCATCAAGGGAGCAGCCAACTTTGGCTGGGCATGCCTGCGATGATTAATTGGAGGATGGATCCACAAGTACCTTGCGATTTTGGGATTACCCTACAGCTGCTCGAAGCGTCCGCACTTGACTGAACCATTACGCCGGAAATTGATTGGCCTACGACCTGAATTTCAGAAAGGTCACAAGCTACAATTACCCACCTCATTGGCTGTGCCGTTCTCGAATCGTCGATACAATTACGTTCTCGTATCTTTCTCTTATTAAACGCTTGGTTATGCCGACCCGACTGTCATTGTCATAGCTCGTTAATCCTTCAATCCCGGATAGTCACTACTTACCACATACGCTATTTTCGAATACCCACCACACCATCAATCCATCTCGACTTCATTAAGCTGATGAATGCCCCCAGAAATACGAGAGGGTCTAATACCGGAGACACTCCGCCAGCAGATACCATGCCATACTCGAATTACTTTGACAATCCATATCTCAGCGATGTCTTCGACCCAGGTCCCGACTACACATTGAACACGTTCTTCGACTCAGACAACTTCTTCAGTCAACCGACCACATCCATCGAGGGCGCCTCAAATACACAGCCCAAATCCCAAAGGACATCAGCCTCAAAGTTACCGGCGACTATACTGCCATCTTCGAGCCGTCAACAGTCCTACCCGCAAACTTATAATCAACCGCAGTTTGGGCAATTCGACCAATATAGGGGTGATTTCTCGATACATCGTCCCACACCACCACAAGCCGGCGAGCACGATTCCTTCTCTCCCACAACGGCGGCAACGACATCGCATTCCTCATCACACTCAAGCGACGCACCACACCAAGCCGTCTCCCCATCGCTAAGTCCCCACACGCTAAAGCGCGAATCACCATCATCGCCTGCATCAGCGTCGGAGTCTTCAACACCAAAACGACCAACCAGGAAGCGGGGTCGCCCGAGGATGAGCCGCAGTAGTACCGACAGCCAACTTGCTGCAACATCGCCTACTCTAAAAAGCCAGACTTCAAGGCGCCAGCCGCACAACCAGGTCGAACGCAAGTACCGCGAAGGGCTCAACTCGGAGCTCGAAAGATTACGGAGAGCGGTACCTTTACTTCGGCAAAATGACGGAACAAATGCAATTGGACAACCGAAACCTAGCAAAGCGACGATTTTAGCCAGCGCAATTGATTATATCCAAGCGATTGAGAAAGAGAGGGATGCGCTAAAGGCAGAGGTCGAGCAATTACGACAGAATCAAGCAGGCATGCTGCGGAATCCAGATGGGAGGAATCCGTCTCTGGACGAATATCTCATGGATTCATAGGCTGAAGCAAGAGGAGGAAAGACCCAATCAAAAACGAAAGAGATAATTTTTTTTACAAAGCCGTGTCATGTCACACAATTGTAAAAAATGGATAACGAGAAGGGGAGCAAAGGGAGTTTTTTTGTTCTTTTCTAACAAGAGTTAAGGGGAATGCTTACTACTGACCCATACGTGGAGTGTTGAGCGCGTATTCGCTGGATTTGTTTCTTTCCCATCTTTTCCTGGATTTCCAATTGCGGCATCGAGGCCTCGACCTGGAGTTTTCTTTCTTTAATCCTAGACTCTTGTGCGCACGTATAGACTATATATAATGACCCGTTACGACATATCATAGGCAAAATTTAATCTAGGGAGTTCTATTATTGGTCTTACGAGTTTATGAATGATTGGGGGTGAGAAGGAGCGAGAGAGAGAGAGATTCGTAGTTTACATTGCCCCCCCTTGCGCATAAAAGACAGGCTATAATAGCTCTTATGATAACTAACATTTATCAATATCCATCTCTGCTCTAGCGCAAACCCTTCACAAACACCGTGCAATAAGTCTAACACGAAGATGCCTATTAACAATATTTTCCTATGATTTATCTTATTACCCCGCCTTTTTTTTCGCGTGATGCGCGCCCCACCACGCACACCCCGTCGGATCAGCGAAATTGATTTTTTTTGCAAAGACGAACAGCGATACTCATCGCTTTCACCTTCTTCCTGTTTGCCTTTGTCCAGAACGATAAAGGATATAATGGTAATAATTTTTCAACCCTTCATCAATCGCCCGGCTAGCTCAATCGGTAGAGCGTGAGACTCTTAGTTATCACGCCCTCAAAGGCACGATTGTTTCAAAATCTCAAGGTTGTGGGTTCGACCCCCACGTCGGGCTTTTTTTTGCGTTTTGTTTTGTGCTTGCTATGCTTTGGTGTTTTTTTGTTTCTTTACTTACTCGCTCTTCCTTCCTTACCATGCTGTTTCTTCTTACTCATCCTTCTTTTTTTTAGCGCCCCCGTCCTAATGTATCAGATAACGGGAATTTTTTTGCGTTTGAATGATACTTTTTTTTTTGGCGCCGGTGCTTTTTGTATAGAATAACGGGGTAGGGAAGAGAAAATGAATGAAAGGCAGACGAGGGGATGTTTGTTTGCTCGTCTTGAAAACGAGGCAAGAGAAGGAAGGAGTAACGACATGGCCCTTCTTTCTTTTCCCCTCTACCCATGCACTCCTCCCTATTGCTGTTTTCTATTCTTCTTCCAATACCCAGACTCCTTTACTCATGACATGACGATCGATGTAAATGCTAAAAGGCTACTATGACTTCACATGCACGCATGAACACAAACATTTGCAGGCGACAAAACGAGACAACGTCCCCGAATAAACTCTGTAGCACCACGAACACACAAAGCAGTATCAAAAAGAAGACCACAGGCAGTTTAAAACTGATCATATAATATTCGACACTCTGGCCCGAACCTGACATTACTCTGAAACCTTATTTCATTTTCGTATACACAGCTGCAATGTTCGGGAATTACACTATAACTTCCTCCGCTTGCTGGCCGTCGGCGGATCCTCTTCCTCGGCGGCAGGGGTGCCTTCATTACCTGCCTTGCCACTATCCCTCTCGACATCTCTCCATGTGCTAACGAGCCCCTGGACAGTCTGGAACATGTCTCTTGCATCGTTGACCACGCCTTCTTCTCCCGGGTTGAACATGACGGCGTTGACGAACATGCGCATAAGTTCCTTTTCAAGCTGTGCCGCGTTGACAATGGCTTTTGGAGGCACATTGTCTGCTGTGAAGGGAAGCTCAATGAGGCCTCCGATTGCACCGCCGGGACTGGCAGTTGGGTTTTCTGACGCCGCTGCAGCTGCAGCAACTTGCTTTGAGCCTGCTGCTATAGCTTTCTTGATGGAAGACAAATCTGTCGGGCGCTTGATAATGTCATAATAGCCTTCTGCGTCTTTGGCGCGAACTGCAGTATTGAATGTAGATGCGTGCTTGTGGGAATTAATGTCGTACATCATGGGGGCTGTCATGCGTGCAAAATTACGTGGTGCTATGATAGATCGAGGAGGACCAGGCGTGCCAAATGATGTGTCCTCGGCCTCCAGAGAAGCTTCGCGGGCATTGCGCTTTCGACGCGTTGAAAGTGACGACATTGCAGCTACTCCTCGACGTCGGGTAGACATATGTGACGGTGTTTCGGCGGTAGCTTCCTCATCAATAGCCTCGACAGAGGTTCCTCGTTCCGACTTGATCCTGTTGCCAGTTTGCGACTCGTTGTCTGCCGCTACCGTATCGGTATGTGAGAGAATTGACTGACTTCTGCTTCGGTCTCGCACAGAACCACCAGCTCTTGAAGATGCAATGCTTCCGGGTCGTGTTCGCCTTGCCGGGGCTTTTCGTCGAGAACGTCCAGATCGAGTTTCGGGTTCCGCCAAAGATTCTTCCTCGTGGTCGTTGATTAGTTTGGAATTTTGCGGGGTTTCGGCGTCTGGTACGGAATCCTGGTCTGGATCTTTTCCTTTGCTCTTTGCCCTGGACTTGCGCTGTGACTTGGTTTTAGCGGGACTCTGATTCGAGCGGACTAGGGGCGGCACATCATCGAGTGGCTCCACCTCTGGACGTGGGCTTGAAGAAGTAGACTGTGTCCCATTGAAACTAGATCGTTTCCATAAACTCTTTGCAGATACGGGAGTTCCAAGAGAACTCTGTGGAGAGTGCGCGGTAGAAGGTGTCGTGAGTGATTGTCTCGCCTGAGTGACAAGAGCATGGATTGGGGGCGCGCCTGCTCTGCCAGTGCCGGGCGTTTGCAAACTCGCCCGTGGCGGCTGTCGGTTGTTCGTAGGTGTCGAGGCTTGGGGGTGCGGCGGCACAGCTGCTTGGTGATGGACACGCGATGGATCCTGTGGAGCAACCTGAAAGGGTGGAAGCATGAAACCTGCTTGGGGTGGTGGGTGTGGCATTTGAGGTTGTAAAGGAGGGTACGGCTGGTGTCCAGAATGGGGGTACGGCGCCCTCTGCTGTCCAGGGTGTAGACCTGGCGAGTGAGGCCCCGGAGGTTGCTGGTTCGGGAACTGCTGGTGCGGTGGGTGGTATTGCGGATGCGTTCCCGGAGCGCCGTACTGAGGTATTCCATTTCCGCCATAGTTCTGGGCTGGCGACCCTACAGCTGGGGATGGGGGCTGCGACGGGTGGCCGTCACGATGCTGTGGACCAGGCTGATGCTGTGCGTTTTGAGGTGTCTGTGCCTGAGGGAAAGGGGTGATGTTTGGATATTGAGCGCTGTTGTATGCTGCATGATGCGACGCAGGCTGGGCTTGATGTGCTGTTGGCGGAGGCGGCGTCGGGTGGGATTGCGGCGTAGAAGGCTGCCTCTTGGATTGAGATGGCGATTGCTGTCCATTTTGAGCAGGCGCAGGTCGCGGAGACTCAAGACCAGACAGCTGGGTGGAATCTGGGGAAGGCGCAATGAAAGGACCGCGTCGCGCACCATTCTGAGCGGGCTGGGGGCTTTGGCTCGGCTGCAAAGGCTTCTGTGCCAGATTAGGTGACTTCCGGGGCAAGGCAGGGCTGCGCAAGGCAGATGTTTGTCCGTTGGCCTTGTCCCTCAGTTGGTCGTCCCACTCTCCACGCTCGATGCTCTTCAGTTCGCGCTGCAGTCGCTCATATCTGTCCTCCTCGGCCCTGATCTGCTCGGCAATCTCGTAGCGGTACGAGGCATAGAGCTTGGTGACGAGCTTGGGGATCAAGTGCTGGTGCTGGAGGGATTCCTGGACGGTAGGCAGGCTCGGGCTCTGTCTCTTTCGCTTGGTCGGGCTCGCGACATCGCCGTTGTGGGAGTCGCTGTCGGTGGCTTGCTCATGCTCGAGCTCTCTCTTCAGGCGCTCGAGGTAGAAGTTGCGCAGGGCATCAGGACTGAGGCGGCCGGCCTGGAAGTACTTGTGGGTGGTAATGTCAGGGTTCTTCTTCAGCAGGTCGGAGATGCGGGCGAAGACGGAGGGGCCGACGCCATAGGCATGGAGGCACTGGAACAGCAGGAGCGACTCGAGGTTGGTGTAGGCAGAGACGCTAGTCGTCATCCCCCAGGCGTCTGCAGCGCGAGGGCGATGGGCGTGGGGCGGGATGGGAGCCACGGCGACGAGGGAGGGACGAGAGAAGAGGGCGTCTAGCGGAGGCAGATGGGCATCGCACGCGACTGGGGGGCGGCGGAGGGCGATGGGCGCGTCGGGCGGCGAGGCGGAGGCAGAGGCAGATGGGCTGGGCGGGTGGTTTGATGAGGAAATTATTCTTCGCAAGAGCTTCGTCGGCGCTGCCTCTCGCACGGCAGCACAGCAGCAGCCCGGCCCTGGCGGCGCGCCAATC